AAAGGTGTGCAATTATGACCATTAAATGATATGAAGCCTGAAATTATGGCACTTTTTTTCTGGAAAGTTCTTTTTTTGGCAAGGGCATCCAGCAAACATAAAGATTTGTTGTGTAGAGTAAATTACATAACCACACATTAAGAATCTGCATACTAAATATATCAAATTGTAAATTTCATCTCTGCTCTGCTGATGTGCAGTGTGCTGATGTGCAGTGTCTGTGTCCTTCCAGTGTTGTGCAGATTCCTTCCAGGTTCTCCAGTGAATCTGTTTTTTTTTTTTGGGGGGGGGGCAACTTAATATTTAAAATACAAATGCGTATTTATTGGGGGAAACGAATGACATCCACCCCCCTACTCCCGGTCTTATGGGCCTTATGGGTCTCTAAGTTGCATGCATTCTGTCCAGAGTGTTGTCCTGCCTCAGCCCCCCTGTCACCCTGCCTACAATCATTTTCATTAGATATATTATACTTCACTATCATTATGCTATATTAGGATAATTTGTTGACTTCACAGACACAGTTTCTTTATCATTTTCCCAGCAAATGCAAGAATTCTGCATGCACTGAATGGTCAGTCACTTTGGAGGAAAGAATCCTCAAAGTAAATGTATAAGATTAAAGAGAAAATGGGTTCATGGATAGTCACAGAAAGTCATCATGCACCAGTATCTTCACAAAACACAACTAATTCACAAACTTGACCTTCACGAATATCTTCCTGCCACACATTTCGAAAGCATGCTGCTGTTCCTCTGTCACTGATGGAGGGACTGACAGGAAGAGATCGCTGAGTGTGGACCGGTCAGGCAGCACGCGGTATGGGGGCGCGGGTTTGATGGCCCACCCTTGTGACACCAGGGGCCTGCTGAGCGATGCAGATAGGGCGAGAGTGCCTGTTATCTGAGGCTGACTTCATGGGCTGCAGCCAAGCTCGCTGACAGCAGCTCACGCATGCAGGTTGCCCTGGTGCTTCGAGTGTCTCCCTCTGAAAGACCCCAACAAGCCAGACTTCCATAGCGCCCTGCTTAAGTCAGCATCTCCCAATCCTGCTTTTTTTTTTAGCCATTTTCTATATCGCTTTAAGCATTTATTTTGTCTTCTAATAAATGTATTAGTATGACACCTGCTGACAGTTTTCTTTCATTTTTTACAGAAAAATCCATTATGTGTTTCTTGAGCGTGATTTCGATATCACTAATGTCATTATTATAGTGCAATTTTAATTGTAACAAAGCCTAAATTTGAGAACAACTAACTATAACTGAGAAACATGGTTAACTTTGACGCCATGTCAGGGGTAACATCTTGGCAGTGACATCAGCGGGAGTATAAGAGGTGGTGGGCCCCCTGCGGCGTGTCAGAGACTTCTGCCAGCGTCCGCGGGCCACCATGCGTGAAATTGTGCACCTGCAGATCGGACAGTGTGGAAACCAGATCGGCTCCAAGGTAACGATGACCGCCAAACCACTAAAACGGGAGCGACCGGCTCCTGTGGTCAACTTTAAAGACTCCTCTAAAATTACATTTAAGCGGTATAGAAACCAGGGCAAATATTATACTTAAAATAAAACTCAAGATTAGCTTCACATGAACATAATAAACTTGATTGGAAAAATTGTTTGGTAGTTTGAAATGTATAGGCATACAACACACTACTGAATTTCTTAGAGTGTCTATTTTTGAATCGAAATGCAGATATTATTATTATATTATTATTAATTATTATTATTATTATTATTATTATTATTATTGGACTGGAAAACATTCTCAGGTTCGTGTTAAGCATGGTTCGGCTCTAAACAAGATATTCTGGACCATGTCTTTGCATTCGTGGTTAATGCACAAAGCCGAAGCCTGACTAACCGTCTCCGGGAGTTCAGACCAACAGAGGGTGTTCCTTCTGAACTTGTTTGCCTCAAGATAAGAAAGAGGAAGGTTTATCTCAACTGTAAAAGACGGAGGACTGGTCTAAAAAATACGGGCTTGGAGTGTGTATTATTATACTGCATTATGATAAAAAAAAGTATCACGATGCATAACAGACATATAGATATTTTCAGGCATTTTATGACCATCTTCTGTAAGTAGAAAATTAGAACGAAATTGCTAATCTTAACAACTTAAAAACCGTAATATATATTTTTGCGCCTCCTTAGTTTTGGGAAGTCATCAGCGATGAACATGGAATCAACGCAGTGGGAAATTACGAGGGTGACTCTGACCTACAACTGGAAAGGCTCAACGTCTACTTCAATGAAGCGCACGGTAAGCATAAACAGTTGCGGCGTTAATAATGCAGTTCTTAACTGTAGCCGCATCCTAAAGAGGTCAACGTGTTTCTCGCTGGTTAGGGGGAAAGTACGTGCCACGAGCTCTGCTTGTCGACCTGGAGCCCGGAACCATGGACAGCGTCAGGGGTAGCAGGATAGGTCAACTGTTCAGACCCGACAACTTCATCCATGGTGAGAAGTCCCCTCCCCTACCCCCCCAATACAACATCCGTGTGAGAGAGTTTGTGAAACGTGACGCGTTCATATCTTTTACCGCTATGAATTAATAACACCAGTAAATAAATTAAACATATTAAATATTACCGCGATCATACCTTTCACCAGAAGTAGTAAATTTTCAATAGATAGTATTTTTCCTAACAGCTTTACTGTTGTGACCAGTATAGTAATATGTAACCATATAGTTCTTGAAATTCCCTTCCTTCTAAGCTAATTAATGTATTATGTACTTTTCTCTCCACTCGCAATAGGTAGTTCTGGAGCTGGGAATAACTGGGCCAAAGGGCACTACACAGAGGGGGCGGAGCTTGTCGAAAACGTGATTGACAGAGTCCGCAACGAATGCGAGAGCTGTGACTGTCTGCAGGGGTTCCAGTTCGTGCACTCCCTGGGCGGTGGGACCGGTTCAGGCATGGGAACGCTGATCATTAACAAGATCCGCGAGGAATATCCAGACCGCATCATGAACAGCTTCAGCATCATGCCCTCCCCAAAGGTTTCAGACACGGTAGTAGAGCCCTACAACGCCACACTGTCTATCCACCAGCTGATCGAGAACACAGACGAGACCTACTGCATCGACAACGAGGCTCTGTATGACATCTGCTTCCGCACACTCAAGCTCACCACACCTACCTATGGTGACCTTAATCACCTAGTGTCCCTGACCATGAGTGGGGTGACGACCTCCCTGCGCTTCCCTGGGCAACTCAATGCTGACCTTCGTAAGCTAGCGGTCAACATGGTGCCCTTCCCACGGCTGCATTTCTTCATGCCGGGCTTCGCCCCACTGACCAGCAGGGGGAGCCAGCAGTATCGGGCGCTCACTGTTCCGGAGCTGACCCAGCAGATGTTTGACGCACGCAATATGATGACGGCCTGCGATCCTAGACATGGCCGCTACCTCACTGTGGCGGGAGTGTTCCGTGGCCGCATGTCGACCAAGGAGGTGGACGAACAGATGCTGGCCATCCAGAAGAAGAATAGCACCTACTTCGTGGACTGGATCCCACACAACGTCAAGGTGGCTGTGTGCGACATTCCACCACGTGGACTCAAAATGGCCTCCACCTTCATCGGTAACAACACAGCCATCCAGGAGATATTCCGTCGCGTGGGCGAGCAGTTCTCCGTCATGTTCCGTCGCAAGGCCTTCCTGCACTGGTACACTGGGGAAGGCATGGATGAGATGGAGTTCACTGAGGCCGAGAGCAACCTGAACGACCTGGTGTCTGAATACCAACAGTATCAGGATGCCACTGCAGACCAAGAATGGGAGCCAGAGGAAGGAGCAGAAGAAGCAGGACCATCACTGGCAGGCACTAAATCTCAGAGCAGAACAGAACTTAAGACTCAAATCATAAGTGAAACCCTGAAAGAAACTGAATGATGGGCCAATGAAAATTCTGCAAATGACCATTACAATGTACATCTCATCATAGTGACAATTTTATATTTTTGGGGGTGTGTGCTATCAACCTGTACTAATATATCATTATCAATGAGACCAAAGCAGGGACTTAAGACCATCAAAATATTGCCGATAAATATTAAAGATGCCAGGCACAATTCACGAAATTATTTTATTGTAATTTCCATAATTTATGCATTTAAATCTTACTGTTGAAAATTAAAGACTTGTGATGTGTTGCCATTCAGTACCCACATATCATTATGTTAATTCATATACATGGTTATATTATTACCAATGAAGACCTTAGTCTTGGAGATTTAATTGGTAAAATATTTCTCTTCATAATCAATACTCCTCCATATTTTTCTATATTGCCTTGTGGTCATCAACAATTGTAAATAAACAGCAAAAATATTCTTATATCTAATTGTTAAATTCCCATTTGTAATGTTTGGAATGGAAACTGGCTTTATAGATATTTGTATTAAAACTGAATAAATTGTCTCCTGATTATTTTGAGGATTTCGTATGTAAAAAGAGATAGAAGTAATGTTTTTAAGATCCAAACATTTTTAGGTGAAAGAAACTGACATAATTTAAAAAAAAATATCTAGACCTCTGGGAATCATCCAGTAATGCTTTTCAAAGCTGTAAAAAAACAAACTTACGTTTGAAACACTACGTCTATGAAACATTGTTTCAATGAAAGTGCAATATATTTCTTGACTCCGATAGTCGACATCCATTACATTGAGAGAAGATGCTTGGGTCAGTTACATTTTCAATTTAAATCAACAGGAATTGAAAAAGTAAGCGCAATCGGGCTATTACGAGTTAATAGCGTACATTGGGAAACTGTTTCGTTCCTAAAATACAGCAGCAATTCAAACACAGAGAATAAGCGAACAACCCCACCCTTCCATTACGCCTGACTGAGAAAGATTAACCAAACGGGAACAGTGCACACTAGATAAAACCGTCCGTGGACTTCCTCACCACATTAGGGGGAACCCCACCTAATTACGAGTACAAAAAGCGAACATTTAAAAATGAGAACTTTAAGCAGAATACATATTGTTCAGCAAATTCATTTTTATTTAAATTAATGTCTTTACATTGTTTTAACTATTGAACTTAACTGCATATACGTCGTATACGGGATTTAATACATTATGTCGTCTGTTTTACATTGCAGTGATAACGTGAAACACTGATGTAGATGAGTCTGAACAAACAGCAGTATAAAGTCGAACAGCTTTTTTATACTTTATTTTAGTCATCCGATCACGAGTATGCTGTACATTTACAATCCAATTAATTCATGTGATTCTCTCCAAAGACAACGAGCACACGCTTGCTTCTTTCCCACAAAACTTTGCGACAGATCTCTCTCCAGGCTCCTGCAGGGGAAAAGCAGCATATGGTTGAACTTCATTTTACAGGTTTTATCGAGCCAATTCATTCATTCATTCTCCGTCCCGCTTGTCCTACACATCAAATCAAATTACGTACACTGTCTACGTTAAAAGATGTTATTTTTCCACCAACCGCAGATGCTGGCTGCCATTTACTTACATGCCGACTTCGCTTTGATGATCTTGACGTTTGCTTCGGCGGCTTTCTGCGCCTCCACTCGGAGCTGCGGTTTCAGCGCCGCCCTGAGCGCCCTGGCGCAGACTGCGGAGTATCTGATGTAGCTGCAGACATGAAACGAGACGCTTTCATTAATTAAACCCCGAGCATCCCTGTCCATAACTGGTCGTGCAAGACCAACATCCCACTTATTATTTACACAAGCAACACATAGTGTACCGGAGTAAAGTTAGAAGTGGGTTCGATATTCGCCAGACATTCACAGATGATCTTTGAATTTACTCTATTAAAACATTACAAAACAAAGTAAATTGCACATTCACAAATACATGCGTGTTTGTGAAATCACATGCACACCTTGGTTATTCAATTATTATATCCAGTAAATTGTGCAAAAGCAAAATAATGCATCTCCTGGTGTGAATTAACGCCTTTGCAGGGGTTTTGACAGAATGCGACATTTCAAAATAAAAGTCCCAAATTTTAAAAAGGAGTAGCTCAACAAACAATTATTACAAAACACATAAAACACTTTAAAATGCTATTCCAATGTGGCACATACTTACAAGAAATGACAAGCACATTCATGGCCCTCTAACACTCTTGAAACTGTAAATAGTGGTATAAGGTAACATGTCCATTATTTTTCTATGCAGGTGGACCGTTGACTATGCTAAATTTGTGCCTGTGATTCAAGGACATGAGTAAAGCTACACATATCATAGCCTTTGGCACTTGTGAAACCTGTAGAAAATTTGTGAAATCAACTGATATGCCTCATATCCATTGTTTTTGGTGCAGGTGGGACATACAGCATCCCAGTGCTCAAAAAACAATGAGCCCAGCAACTTAATTTGATTTCACAAATTTTCTACAAGTTTCACAAGTGCCAATGTGCATGATATGTGTAGCTTTACTTATGTCCTTTAACCACAGGCAGAAATTCAGTTGCTGGGCTCTTTGTTTTTTGAGCATTGGGATGCTGTATGTCCCACTTGCACTGAAAACAATGGATATAAAGCATATCATTTGATTTCACAATTTTTCTACAGGTTTCACAAGTGCCAAAGGCTATGATATGTGTAGCTTTACTCATGTCCTTGAACCACAGGCACAAATTTAGTATAGTCAACGTTCCACCTGCATAGAAAAATAATGGACATGTTACCTTATACAGTACCACTATTTACAGTTTCACGTTAGTGGGCCATGTATGTGCTTGTCATTTCTTGTAAGTATGTGCCACATTGGAATAGCATTTTAAAGTGTTTTATGTGTTTTGTAATAATTGTTTGTTGAGCTACTCCTTTTTTAAATTTGGGACTTTTATTTTGAAATGTCGCATTCTACAAAACCCAAGCGAACGCGTTAATTCACACCAGGAGCTGCATTATTTTTCACAATTTACTGGATATAATAATTGAATAACAACGGTGTGCATGTGATTTCACAAACACACACGTATTTGTGAATGTGCAATTTACTTTGTTTTGTAATGTTTTAATAGAGTAAATTCGAAGATGATCTATGAATGTCTGGCGAATATCGAACCCACTGCTAACTTTACTCCGGTCACATACCGTATATAAAGCACGTGTCCAAGAATTTATTGAATTCGCTCAAGCGTCTCAAGAAAATTCGAATTATTCACCTGTGAGTAATCAAATGCATTAGCATGGTACAGCGTGAGGAGACTTTTACATGCCGTTTTATATGACACATACACACATTCCAGAACAAAGAGAAAACACGTTACTGTTAAATATTACCTGAGCCCAGCTTGTCTCCAATAAGCAACCATTTTCCCAGACAAAATGTTTCACTCAAACCTGGTCAGTAGCTCAAGGACGACAGGATGAATGCCGGAGACCGGATTTCCGCTCTCTGGTGAACCGTTAAATGTGACTCACTACTGCCATCATCCGTTCTGGAGGCTATCGGCACATTATGTTTTGACTTTGGGGAATGTCGGTGTGGTGATTTAAAACAGCTATTAATAAAACAACAGCTTATACGGGGGTACGACAATACCTCTTATCATTAAATATTTTTTTAATATGTTCAAAGTATCATTAATAATCTGCAAATAAACGCATCAGTGACACCGGTGACCTCTATTTATCAAATGACATTACTCTTTGAATTTAGAATAAACACCACTTTCATTTACTTACATTGCTCTATAGGAGGAAAGGTGATTTCATTTGATATTTGGGAAGAACATCGATGTTAACTTCATACACAAAAACCGTTTGTTCCCATTTAAAAGGGTACTGGGTCTCAGAGAGCAGCACTTGGGTTCTAGTTGCAAGTGGCAAGGGGACCTGAAGGACAACATACTATGTGAAGGGTCGATAAAACCGTACAGCAATCCAATCTCCAATGACAAGGAACAGATCCCCGCCCTGTAGGTAATAACTCGTGGAAGCACCATTTGTGCAATAATAAGTATCACAAGACGTTTACATCTAGGCCACCCTGCCAGAAAATCCTCTACCTGAAATTAATCCAGAATAACTTCAAATCCGACAATGGTCAGTGGGAACGAAAAAAATGATCACAGGTCAGAAACTTTGCTCATAACTTTTTACTTCAGATGAACCAGTCATATGTGGTCTGTTAACTCAATTAAATTTGCTCAATTACTGATGCCGCGGTAATAAAAGAAAGCCATAAAACTGTGGCATGAAGTGTATTCAGGACTATATATCACGCTCGCCTTCCAAAATAGAAATAAATAGTAACACAGATGAACTTGTAATTCTGGAGTTTATTTTAATCTTTGATTAACCACATTATTTACAATAAATTTCAGAATACCGGATCAAGTAGGTTCAGTAAATGCAATTTTTCAAAAATTAGAATGATCATAATACTAAATAAGTTTTATAATGTCCTTGAAATGATCTGAATTGTTTTATGAATACATGCAAATATATATTTAGTGGAAAATAAACACACACCACTGCATGATATTAGCCAGGAGATCTGTTCGGCAGGTACGCTAACATAGAGTAATCTAATTATATAACCATATCCGACCCCCACTGATTCCGTGAAGACCCTATTTGGAACGAAATAACCTCTCCTAAATGCCTTCTTAGTGCCACCGCCCACTTTAAGAACAGTATGCGGAACTGCGTCATAGCGACCACGTGACTTCCGGAAGGTTTGAGGCGTATCTTGGGCCGCCTCTCTTTTTAATTGACTGCGAACGACATTTTGTCTGCAGTTGCCGGGTCCACTGCCTAGAATATTTCATCTGAACTCCGGAATCAGACTAAATCATGAAAATCTGGACATCAGAACACATATTCAAGTAAGTGAGCTATTACTGTAGAAACAGTCTAGTTGTTTTTATGTCTTTTTCCACACGTTGCTGTCATGTGGCGTGAGAACGTGGGACGAATTGGCGCCTTATCGGTTACTTCCCTCAACTGTTAAGTTATTGGCATTAGAAGTTTGATGGTACCTCAGTAGTTAAGTAATCGACAATAGAAGTTTGATAATACTAAAAAGCTCAAAAGCACACTTGTGTGCTCGGTTATACGTTAAACTTTATCTTAAGTTAGTGTAAAACGGTTAAGTCTGGGAACACGAATCTGGAAGTGTGCCGCTAGTTAAAGGGAACCGTTCTTTCTAGAATGTCAGGTTAGTAGGTAGCTGGTACGATTAGTATAGCTACCAGACTCGTGGCATAAACTGATCATTGATACTGGATTTGCTGGCAATTGACTGCTACATATGACGTAATTAATTAATTTCATGCGCGCCATTTGCAACAGTGCCATTGACTTTTATATAAAAGTCTATAAATAGCTTATTGATAAACTCATCAGACCTGATTATTTCGATTCGCTAGCATTGACACGCATCCTCACATTCATGCAGCATCGGCGGTACGTTGTTGTAGTTCTTAGAGCCGTATTTAATTAGCTGTTGTAAAAATTGTAGTTATACCAGGCTTATATAATTAATAATGAAAACTTCTGAGTAATTGTGATAATGCTCAGACAGTTCCAGCATGGCCGGTCTATAAATGTCTCCCTGACCTCGTATCACTCAAAGAGCATTTCGTTGCAACAATTCCGCAATGTTAGATTGCATAATTAACCTTGTGAAGTGTCAGGCGGCGACTTGGCTTACTTGGCCTTTACCCTGCGTTCTCTAGCCACGACCTCAATTGCGTCACCTGCTGACGTCAGGCAGCTTCCTGTATCCATGGCCACCGACCAGATGTTTATACGCCAAGCGTTGAGCGTGAAATTTCTTTACGTGCGTGTTAAAGTAACTTAATACGACACACCTCATTAGTAAGCTTGCATTCTCGGTTTAGTTTTTTTCCTAGAGCTGGTAATGGTTTATGAAATTGCTGTAGTCCTAGCTTTCTGTGTCGAGAAAGCTTTCTGTGTTCAGTGTTTCCGAAAGTTGTAGTGTTATCATGATAGACCTGTTAGTGCATGTATGCCCTTATTTGCTTGTGCTGAGCATTCTGTACGATAAGCGTGCCACTAAACAGTTCTGTAAGACCGGTATGCCATCAACATTTAAAAGTCCATTTACTGGCTGTGGTAACTTTAGCTTTTCAGTGATAATTAATAGTTAATGCTTGTACAATAAATTCCAATTGTAAGGTTGATTTTTAGAATGCATTTTAAATATAATCTAAATTCCCAAGCACTACATGTGAAAGATGGTACTTGTATTAAGGTCTGATGTGTTCCAATACTTAAGCCCTGTCTTCCTTCTTTCCAATTCAGCCACCCATGGGAGACTGTAACCAAGGCAGCAATGCAGAAGTACCCCAATCCCATGAACCCGAGTGTGATTGGAGTGGACGTGCTGGACAGGGGAGTGGACACGCAAGGTCGTCTCCACAGCAGCCGGCTTCTCAGTACAGAGTGGGGTCTTCCGTCCATTGTCAAATCTGTAAGTGTGAAACAATCCCAAACATGATTCTGACTCAACTTCTGATATTTCAAAACTGCTGTAATTCTGTAGTTCTAATGGTAATGCTCTGGAACTCCATAATCTGGAGGGGAAGAACTTTTTTTCAAAATGATTGAAGTTAACAAAGGTTTGCAGTTTTGGACACTGAGTTCCAGATTTTACCTTAATGCTTTGGCTCAATTCTGCATTATACAGCAGTAACCAAGAACATGCTGGAGTCGTATCGCATCGGTTACTTTTGTTTTATATATATTTTAGAAACCTTTCATTGTATTGTATTGCAAATTTATGTTTCTCCATTTGTTGGCTCTTGTTTAAAATCTGACTTGCTTTGATAGTCACATGACTCTTTCCTGTCACATGGGCAGTTTCAGGGGGTCCCTTCATTATCTTGTTTTAGCATGTGCCCCGCCAGCTCACGGGACCCAGTGACCTTATAGGCAGGCTATTTCTATTGGGGTGCTGGCAGTACTGGGGGGGGGCACACGGTGTCCGTAACAGAGCGTACCATTCCACTGTCTCTTTGTGCCATAACCAGTGAACTAAACCCCACCCCCCCTCCATATGGGAGTTGAACTTGGCATGGCTTGTGCACAAACTTTCATCACGGGGAGTGTATTTTAATTATGTTCAGAAATGTTCATTTCTGTCTTTCAGAGGAATGATAAACCAGCACCCCTTTAGTGTACTGACAAGTTAGGATTGTGTTTCATTCTAAGTTTGGTGTGATCCTTTTGCTGTGATTAACTTTCATTGTGAAACTTCACACAATGTGGCAGCATTGCCCAATTTATGTTTACCTCCACATTTGATAATGGCATTAGGCACTATATAGGTAACTCCATCAATGGGGGGGCCCTTATAACTTCTTGAGGACAGAGTTTGACACTCACTGCCCATACGTCTCTTCAGGGGAGTAACACAATAGAGGGGGGTGTTGTGGACATGAATTAAGTCAAATGCAATTGGTATGTTCTAACGCAGACCATGGACCAGATCTAATTGTCTTTGATTGTCATTGATTAAATCAGCCTGAGTACCTGATAAGAAATCAGTATTGGGGTAATGGTGTGCATTTCTCTCCTCAGCTGATTGGGAACACAAGAACGTGCACATACATCCAGGAACATTCGGTGGTCGATCCCAAGGGGAAGATGTTTGAATTAAAATCTACCAATGTAAGTTTCTTGTGTTCTTTATGGTTTTCGTGCTGAGACAAATTGGTGTTTCGAGTTATGTGACAAGCAGACGCAGTCCCTGCGGGGCTGTTTACTAAGCACCACGTACCTTTTCATAAATAGGGTAGCAGTGACCTTTGTGTTGACATTCGTGGTCTTTCCCCACTTTCACAGCTCACGTTTACCAACTTGGTGTCTGTCGACGAAAGGCTTGTCTACAGACCGCACCCCCAAGACCCAGAAAAGTAAGACCTTTGTGGGCTAGAGCTGTGCTTTTATTGTCATTGTCACAAAATGTGGCTGCTTGCGTGCCTCTTTCTTGCTCTGCTTGGTATGTGGCGGCAATTGAAACCATCTCCTCTTGTTTGTCCAGTTCTTCCACTTTTTATACAAATATTATACAAATAGAAAAGGAAGAAGTGATTATTTTAACCTTGGTGAAAGAACTGTTTCATTGGAATAATGACCATCACTGTTATTGATGGTAAGCTGGCCTTGATGAGTCTCTTGTTACCTTGCAGGACAATATTGACCCAGGAGGCCCTCATCTCTGTGAAGGGAGTCAGCCTGAGCAGCTACCTGGAAGGTCTCATGGCCAGCACAATCTCAACAAATGCTGGCAAGGTAACATCACTCAACAGCGTGTTCCGTGTGGAATGTGGGGAGTTCTTTTATGTTCTAATCGTATGTGGAGGCTGAGATGCACCTAGCATCGACGCTCACAGTATGCTCCGCCCTTGTCTCACAGGGCCGTGAGGCGATGGAGTGGGTTATCCGGCGGCTGAACACAGAGATCGAGGAACTGGCCGCGACTGCACGGGGCTCCATCCGGACGCCCATAGCTGCAGCGGTCACGGAGGAATGACCCACACTATGAAGACCCCAACCCCCCCAGGAACCACCACCGTCACCCACTCTGCTCTGACTGCAGAGGGGTACTCCCTGTCTCCAGCAAACCCTCTCTCTGCCTCGCCGTGCTCACCTCAGCTCTGTGTCTCCACACTGGCATCAGCTGTCTTCGTCTGATGTGCTGGGCGACGCCGAGGGAGGCGGGCAGTATTTATTACCAGGCAGTCAGACTCTGACACAGCACTGGGGGCACGGAGGGGAGAAAGTGGTCTTGATGAGGTGCTTAGTGAAAACAAGTGGAGGTCTCTGTCAAGCCAGCACAAGGTTGCATTTTTGCATGCCGTTAAATGCATTGACAACATTGCAATGAAGACAATGCTTATGGAATTCAGATGAAACGTGCATAAGCTGGATCCTGGATGAACACCTCTGTCAGGCCCCATGTGAGCTGCCTGTCTGACTGGTTCCCAGTGCTGTGTCTTTGTCTGTCTTGCCTGCAGCATATACCACACTTGCTTGGTTGCCTAGGCAAGTATCTCTGCACTTGAATGTCAAGTACTGTAGATTTCTATTATAATTAATAATATTTTATTTTCAAAGTACAAGCTGAAATGAAGGGAACATGTTTAACAAAGGAAATCCTGATTTGTGGGAGTTTCTTCTGGTTTACAGAGGACCATCTCAAATGCCATGAAACGGCTTAGGGGGTAGCTTTTGGCCTCGCTGCTTGTATTGATATGGCACGGAGGGATACGACGAGGAAGTCTGTAAAGGGCTGAGTGTAAAATAAACGTGCAGTTTTCCAGAACATTCCTGGGAAGGCATGAGTTTGGTGTTGTCGTGCGTCTGCGATGGCCCTCTGACGCCATGCCGAGATATCACATGGATCTCATGTTCATATGCAATTTCCGTTCTCTTACATTTTCAAGTCCTTGTGTTTGATAAGAACAACATAAGATTATCTTTTTTTTTTTTTTTATGTAGCTCTGGTGACTAGGAAAAGTAAACGACTAACACTTGTAGACGTGAGAGCAATGGGCAGTTTGCTTTTTTTTCCCGTTTATGCTACAAACGAACTTTTAAAATTTCTTTAAAACTTTTAACATGATACTGCAGCGTATTGGGGACAGCTTAAAGCATTTATACGCACAATGACTAAAAATGATGGACAGTAGACAAGTTCCTTTATGTTCTCAGTTGGGTGAGTACTGGGACGGGGAAATGCAGGTACCTTTTGCCAGCTCTTGTTTGTGATATTGGGGCAATTCCTGCTATTCTGATGATGCAAAATAATTTATTTATTTATATAGCAATGGAAGTGACTTGTGTGTATCTCCTTCAGTGGCGATGACGAATGTGTGTTCTGTTCTGCCTGATTCACTTCACTTAATTGACTGGTACATGTAATAGTTTATATGTAGTTCTAATGTAGATCCGGAGTTATTACCAGTAATTAATGATACGTGTTGGCAGCTTATTGTGAATCAACATTGTATTCTGGTGTATTGTTTTGTTCATAAGTGAACTTTGGATGCTACTGGTCTTGAATACTCGGCTGTTATTGGAATACGTTTTTGTTACAGATTGTCCAGACACAGTTTGGACATGGGGGTGTTATTTAAAATGTCATGGAATAGACCTCTAAACTGCACTGACCTTAATTCAGCACTTAAAGCAGTACTTTTAAACGGAATGCCTGCTGGTGTATGTTGCCCATGTCAGTTTCTTAAAACTACATTATTTTAATGTAGTAGTGCAGTGATTTTTTTTTTTTTTTTAAATTCCAGTTCAGACTCCTCTTTTGGTTAAAATTGTCAATTTAGGAAAATGTTTTGGAGTTGTGTTGAACGGTGCCAAAGACGCCCCCACCTGGTGTAAAGTGATGATACATGAATACTTGCTGCTTTTCTGACTCATCCGGTGAGATGTGGCCGCAGAGACCAGCCAAATCGGTGCACGTGTCAATAGCGGCTGTTTCTGAAATAAACTGAAGTTTTACAGTCATTCCTCTCGTGTTTATTTCTTGACATCCCGAGCCTTAAAAACCTCACAATTTACGTGCTGTACTCCCAAGAAAGCGACGGGGAGAAGTCGATTCCTTTACCACAGTGATAAGACACAGTAGTTAGTTTGTATGTCATTAACTCAAGGATGGTCCATCAGACACATTTAATTTTAGTAGTACGTGTATACATATATTTACATGTTTCTAGGCATTACTGAGAGTAACGGTACACCGACAACTAAAATATAGTATCACAATAATGTTAATTGACCGGTTAAGTTATTGGGCTACGGAGAGATGTAAAATATCCAACACTAATTTTGCACTGAGCTTCCTTGGCATAGCCGACTACGTCACGACACGCATGGCCAATGAGAAGCCCGGAAATAGCAGCCAGAGCCAATCAAAATCCAGATTAGGTTTAAAGGCGTATGGCAGAGGGATTTTTGAATTTAAACACTGGATCGATCCTTCAGCTGCTGGGCTGATGGTCAACCTGTTATCAATTTCGGTGAAATCCAGGCAACAATTCAAAAGGTTCTTAAATTAAAATTAAGCCATTGTAAGTACAAGCATGTTTGTTTTTATTATATTGTAAGCTAATGTTAATTACGTTGTCTGCGGATAGGAATACCAGTTTAGCTTAGCAGTCAGAGCTGGGAAGGTCAAACGTATCGGTTACTAACTTAAGAGTGTTAGCTAGTTAACATCGAAACTAAGTTTTCATCGAATTTTCCTCATAGGTCCCGCCCGATGATGTCTTAACGTTTATAAATTGTTAACTTCTAAACTGGTTTCTGCAATTGACTCCGTTAGCCTAGCATCTAAGCTAATCACTTCCCAATTCGATCAGAAGGTTTGTCGTAAAAAGTGAAGTAGAACATTAATCTGACTGCTTCACTGAACAGTGCAAAGGTTATTAACCTACACATAACGAATAATATTCATCTTATTAGAACAAACTTTTTTTATGGGGTAGACTGAACAATGTCCTGTAAATCCACCCTTTAGGCGGCTATGTTTTATTTGCTCCTATAGTTATTTTTTTCACAGGCTAAAACATGTTTTTTCAACTATTTCTTTTAATCTTATAACAGCATTAGGTATGATGGATGCTGCAAGAATAAAGACTATACAGGACCTGAAAAGTCAGAGAAATTCAGGTGGAAAGATGGTGGGTGACTTAACATGGCCGCCGGAATAACGCTTGGCCCCTAAAGCCTTTACTTCTAAACGGGGTTCACTGAGTGATAAACGGTTTCAGAAGTGAAATAAATGTATTATATGGTCGGCAGCTATGGTGCCCTTTAATTTTCCAGAAGTGATTTGGTGCAGTTATTGTATTTATATAAATGGCACTAAACAGTTTACTATACTATGTTGCATGCTGGCTTGGAATCTGGATGTACGTTAAATATGATCGTTAATAGACTTAAACTTTCCTCTAAAGGCCAGCAGTGAGGTGCCAAGGCGAGTTCCCATATTGCAGAGCTCCCACAGTTCCGCAAAAGCGCAGCCTCAGCGGGTTCTGGGTGCATCCAATGGGCCACAGCGCGTGCAGCGTCCCGTCGGGCCGCAGAAACCTGCGCCCCGCGCTCCGAGCAGCAAGGCCGCGCAGGCCGGTGAGCAGAACACCCCCGTGCGTCAGGCTCAAAGCAAGAACGAGCCGAGCAGGAAGGAAGCCGCTGCTCCAGATCCCAGCAAGAGCGTGAGCACTAATGCGAAGGAGAAGGCATCAGGTACGTTAATAAAACTCCGTGGGAAAGGACCGAAGATGCGTGAGTGTTTATTAAAATAATCACTTAACAGTGTGGTGGGTTTGGGAAGAGTGAAAAGAAGAAAAAATATTACATTTTTATTTGAAATTACAGATAACACTGGGACTGCAGAATCAACAGAGACTGCAAAGTAAGATTTATTATTTATTTTGTGACACTTGAGTTTTCAGGCATTCAGAAAGAACTACCATGTGCCATATCTATGGCTTTTTGAAGTTGATTTCCATGTGGTGGGATTAGGTTTGATTTGTGGGTTGTTCTGGAGTGTAGGTTGTTATAGTGCGATACTGATTGTAAATGTTCACTCCTCGCATCCCTAGGAAACGGTGGAGCTTGGACAACTTTGATATTGGGCGTCCCTTGGGCAAAGGAAAGTTTGGTAACGTGTATCTGGCAAGAGAACGTCAGTCAATGTTCATCCTGGCCCTGAAGGTCCTCTTCAAGCAGCAGCTGGAGAAGGCTGGTGTGGAGCATCAGCTCAGGAGAGAGGTGGAGATCCAGGCCCACCTCAGGTAGGTGTCTGAGTGCAGTGAGGGCCGGTCTTGGGGAAATGCTGCATGACATAAGTATTAATATGGATTTTCACGCAGCTTCATTTCCAGTCTCTGTAGCGATTGTGAGTGTAAATATCTCATATAGTGTGTAACAATGTATCGTACAATGTTTTTTCCCTCCTCCTGTAATTGACCTTTTTCCCCCTCCTGTGAAATAAACTTGTATTTATTTACTTTTCAATTACTGGTATTTAGTGTAGTTATATAATTTTCCCCCTGGGATCAATAAAGTTTAATGTTAATCATCTTAATTATTTTTTTATTCAGTGACTAGTTATTTATTTACTTAGGATATTTTCCACTTACATTGGGTACGTTGGAACATAACCCCCTCGTAAGTTGAGGAGCATCTGTATATGCATGTTGCATTAAATATCCTAAAATAAGTCAGATAACCTCGGATGAAAACCAAGTAAAATCATGGCTGATCTTAAAGGTTACATTGTAGATTTCCTGTTTAATCGACTGCTCCTCCCCCACCCATTCCTTAGGCATCCAAACATCCTGCGTCTCTATGGCTATTTCCATGACTCTTCCCGTGTTTACCTCATCCTTGAATTTGCACCCAAGGGAGAATTGTACAGTGAGCTGCAGCGCTGTGGTCACTTTGATGAGCAGCGAACTGCCACGGTAAGATGCAGAGAGATTCAGTGTTAGCACATTGTAATGTTACATTGCAGTGTATAGTTAATATATTGTTGTTACTGCTAAATTTACACTACATTTTTACAGGAATGCTACATTATGCAGTAATTGATTATATTGCTTTAATATTGCATTGTGTATTGCTGTGGTGTTACAAATTCCACCATATGACAATACACTGGAGATTTTGTAGTGTGTTTGTCACCAGAAAAACAGATTTGTCTGTACTAAGATTTGCAACGACTTATCACCTCATCCGCTTATTTTTGGTTTTGTTTTGCTTTTATATACATTGAAGGTTTTTAATGAATGTAAACTAGGTATGGTGTCTCCTGTAAGAGTAGCTGTGTGTTGATTTTGGTTTTTCTTTTTTGTAACTCCTCCTTTTTGTAGTACATCACAGAGCTGGCAGATGCCCTTCAATATTGTCATTCCAAAAAGGTGATACATCGGGACATAAAGCCAGAAAACATACTCCTCGGTGCCAATGGGGAGATAAAAATAGCCGACTTCGGCTGGTCTGTACACACTCCTTCCTCAAGGTAATGTGTTCATTTTCCTGACATTTTCCTCCCCTTTAACCAGAGGGTACTGTGTAGACAACACAATTTTTTAAGATAAGTTCAAAGTTTTTTTTTTTTTTTTTTTTATTAATGATTTTTTCCCCACCTAGTTTCTTTGGCAAGTGTTCACCAAAGTGATAATGTTGATGATGTACAGAGGATTAAAAACCTGTTGTAATCCATTTTTTGTTTGTGTTAAATCAGCTCCCCTTAATTTGCTGCTAGAAAACATTGCAAGTCAATGAAGAATTCAGTTTTTTGGAGAAACACATTTGATCCTTTTTTTTTTTTTTTAGGAGGTCAACTTTATGTGGCACTTTGGATTATCTGCCTCCTGAAATGATCGAAGGGAGGACTCATGATGAGAAGGTGGATCTGTGGAGTTTAGGAGTTCTCTGCTACGAGTTTCTTGTGGGGAAGCCAGCCTTTGAGACAAAAAGCCATGAGGAGACCTATCGCAAAATATCAAGGGTATGTAGCTCTCAGGTTGCCTTACGTGTTTGCATGTGTTTCTTGGTACTGAAACCAAAGGTCTGAGTTTCTGGTTTTTCCTTTCAACACAGGTGGAGTTTAATTACCCTGTACATGTGAGCCCAGGAGCTCAGGACCTGATCAACAAACTGTTGAAACACAATCCTTTGCACAGGCTCCCTATCCACGGGGTGCTGGCCCACCCGTGGGTGGTGGAAAACTCTACGAAGAAGCCCACCTACATGCCCCCAACTCCCCAGCCTGCCCCGACATGCTGATCAGTCGTTGAGGAGCTTTGCTGATCTTGCTGTTGGTGGAGTTGCAAGCAGTACAATGCTTAAACTCTCGTCAAAGCTGAAACTGGTCATGAGTCTGACCGATGGCATTGACTGGCTGTGACTGTGATTTGGCTCAAACTGTTCCCATGGCAATTGCTTGAAAAACTTGTAAAGTATTGGTGTCCGTGTTTTTCTGTTGTGCTGTACTTTCTTTAGACTTGCTGTTCCTCACTAGTCTGTTGATTTGTAAATGATGAACCAAGTCCTTTTTACAGATTCTCTGCATATATTTTGGAGGCTTGCTTTTAAACTCCTAGCACAGCGTCTCTGAACCGTGTTGGACTTGGAGGATAGGTAATTCCATTTTGCTGCTCACCAGGGTTTGCAGTTCTTATGTTGCATTTTTAATGTGTACATTAACATTATAAATACTTTATAAATAAATATGCTTCAATGAATAAACTCAGAGCAACATCGACCACTATCAGAAAAAGTACCTGCTAATTGTGGCATTTGCAAAAAGGAAAAAAATAATCTTCCACTGCAGTCTTGGGAAAGTGCTGTTGGAGCCCAGGTGGTACTATAGACAAGCTGACTTCCAGCACCCTGCCAAGGTTAAGCTTGCCAAGCCGGGAGGGCGGTTTGGCTCCTGAGCTTTGCCAAGTCAGAGCCCCCTCAGAAGATGCTGCCCTGGGCACCGTCTCGCCCAT